ACACACACATCACCTTGTTTATGGTGCTCTGTGCATTCAGCTCTTCCAGTAATGGGGTGAGAGCTGTATGCATTGGGAAGTGGCTGTGGATGGGCTTTAGATCCCTTAGGGTGGGGAAGGATAATGTACTGAAGATGTCACAGCCTCTTTACATTCCAGGAGCTTCCTTAAGGAATGCAAAGAACAGGGATCAGCCTCTTTATCTCTGCAAAACATTTGCAGCATGAATTGTTTGTACCAGTGGTGCATTGCAAAATTAAAGTGTTTTCACTTTGTGATTAAAAACAACTTAAATATAATGTCCATGTTTTTCCCTCAACAAAAGACAAGGCTCTAGACAACTTTAAAAAGAGATTATTTCAGTGGGACCACCAGCACAGGGTCTGGAGAACAGAGATGTTTGTGCAGTTGCACAGCTCATTCCTGACATTGTTGTGTTCCAGAGGAAGGAGGGGCCCACATGCTCCATGTATGGCCAGAGCCAGATGGGAATTTTGATTTTTGATTCTGATACTGACTCCCTTAAGAAAAATTAAAAACCCAGCCTTTCTCTGGCTGGAGGAGCTCTTTCTCTGATCTTTTGTGCTGAATATGACATGGGGCTATTTCTGCTCCTGAGTGCCCAGCTCCCACAGTCCAGCTGTGAGGCTTCAGCTCCTCTGTGGACTGGTCCTTACCTGATCCTTCAGGGTCTGAGCGAGCAAACAACTCGCAGAGAAGCAAGGAAAGACATCAGGGTGCCTGTTCACTGCTCCTGAGCCATCCTGTGGTACCAGCCAATGTACACTTCCCAGAGGGTGGAAACATGCATAGAAGGAGCCCTCTAAGGAGGTGGTAACCTGGGAGGGTTTGTCCTGCTGGCACAGGGGAGCTGCTGGTCAGGGCCAGGGAGCTGAGCAGGGAACGTGCTCCGAGTCAGTAACACCTGAGTGGGCAGTGGGCTGCTGCTCTGAGCCCGAGGATTAGGTCTCTGCCTCTGTGTCCCTGTTTTCTCTCATAAAATGCTTCCCTGCAGTGCTTCCCAGGGCTCTTAAGAGCAATGAGCAGTTAATATTTGTAAAAAGCTTTGAAGCTGAATGGTGCTAATTATTATTTATAGGCATTCATTCTCACCACGGGTAGTTCTCCTTGATCCTGGGTATGAAAGGAAACCAGGACATTTGTAAGCTGGTCAGGCAGGAGTTTGGCCTTGAAGTCTTTGTGTACTTGTTTCCCCACTGGGTTCTGGGTGTGTTTGCAATATATTTGTCACATTAAATGATCAGTTTGGGGATTTATTGCACCAGCCAGATGTGCCAAAAGATCTTTTCTCATTTCCCTCAATTCTGCTGACACAGGACGTGCAGGATTTTGGCATGCCAGGAGGGGCCAGGAGACAGGGAAATGCCATCAGCCTGAGCTGGGTAGGATGATCAGCAGGACTGGATGTTCCATTTCCAGGAAAGAGGAAAGTCAGATCTTATGCTTGGAAGAGGCACCACATTGCAAAGAGCAGCTGTTTTCAGCAGTTTTTGGTGGTGCTCAACTTTGTTGAAGAAAACAGAAAAGAAGGAGGAGAAAGATGTCAAACAGCTGGGACATTTTTTCCCTGACAATCCTGCTTAGCAGATTAAGCAGCAGAAGTGTGGAATGACAAAGGAAAATTGGTGTATTGTAGTTCCTGAGTAACTGGTGACAGTTCTGTAAATAATTTCTGAGCTGCTGTAGTTAAGGACTCTGCTGAAGGGTGTGCAGAGTCTCTGCGTTTAATTCTGAGCTTGAGGTGATGAACAAAGATTTCAACATTCACCCAGCCCAGTTTGGTTGTTGTGAAATTCAGTCTGTTGGTCTTTCATGCTATTTGACATCATTTAAATGGGGCTTGTAAGGCAGAGCTCTGGGGAAATTATGGAGTCTAAGTGTCCCTGAATAACACTGCTCTTTGCCTTCTTGTACTCTACTTACTGATCTGATTTCCTGCCTAATTTCTCCTCTCTGCTGAGTAATGTATTAAATAATCAAGAGATTGTTCAGGTACCACAAGGGAAGGTTTTTGGCAGAGCTGCAGCAATTCAGCATTTCTGGAAGAAAGAGGCCCAAGAAGTAAATTTTAGGCTTATCTTGTTTTCTTAATGGAGTTCTTGTCAGCTCACAGAGTAAATTCTATTCCCTGGTGAGTGTGGTAACATCAGTTTTATCAGGGATATTGTTTCAGTGTAGGAATGTTAATGCTGGGGGAGAAGAGTTCCTGAGCACAACCCACTGTGGTGTCTGTTCCTCTGAGCAGCTTGGGCTGGTGGCAGGTGTCCCTCAAGGTGCTTTAAGGTCCCTCCAACCCAGAGTATTCTGGGGTTCCTCCTGACAGCCAGCAGGTCTCAATAATTACTCCCTTTAAGGCCTTTCCCTTAGGGTTAGGGTTATGATTTTGTATCTGCTCAACAGGGGTATTCTTTTCCCCATCTCAAAATACTTTTCCCTAAGTAACTCAAACTGCATTTTAAAAACAGGTTTTGGCTTTCAGTGCAGTCACCAAATTTTAAAGCATTTTGGTTCAGGTTACAAGTTGCAGAATGTTCTGAGTTGAAAGGGACCCACAAGGATCATTAAGTCCAAATCTTCAGTGAATGGCCCATGCAGGGATTAAATGTACAACCTTGATGTTATCAGCATCATGCTCCAGCCAACTGAGCTAATCTCAGGGTCACAACATACAATATAATAATTCAGTGAATGTGTTTGAAATCACTTTACTGGTTGCATTAATACTTTAACATTTGCAGTCTTGAAAAATTCCATTTCTTCACAATAGCTACAGTTTTGTGAAACAGGGGAATAAGTGACTTTTTATTCCACTGGACATTGTAGATTCTGGAATTGCTTTAAAGACTTTTGGTGGCATGGCAGGTAGGGGTGGGCTTTTTTCCCTTCCAGGGTGTTTTAGGGTATGTGAGTTTTTATATTTAGATTTCCCTCCACACCCCTGTGTCCCAGTGCCTGGCACTGCTGGACATGCTACCACAGCTTTGCTGCTCTGGCAGACGAGAGAAGAGGGCAGAGGCTTGCTCAGATTGTTCACATGGAGCTTTGTTCAGGTAAAAGGTTTTTTCATGTGACCACATCCATCCCAATTAAGATGGTAGGAAAGGTTCTTCCTCCAGACTGTGCTGGGCACTGCCCAGGCTCCCCAGAAAATGGGCACAACCCCAAATATGCCAGAGCTCCTGGGACAGGGTGGGATTGTTGGGCTGTCTGTGCAGGGCCAGGAGCTGGACTCAGTGATCCTTGTGGGTCCCTTCCAGCTCAGGATATTCCATGATTCTCCCTGCAGGATGCCTGGTCACACAGTTTAGTTGTGGGTGGCCCTGTGAGCAGCAGGGAGCTGGACTCTCATGCTGATGTTCTCCAGCTCAAGATATTCCTTAAGTCTATTCCCAGGTACAAGGCAGCATTCACAGGGGTTTCTGGTGGGACTGCTGAGGGGTTTCTCCAGGGTCCAGGCAGCCAGGACAGGAAAGCAGCCTGGAAAGTGTGGGGAGAGGGAGTTTTCCCACACTGGGTATTTTGGTGAGAGCAGAGAGCAAGGCAGTGCTCTGGGTGCTGTTCAGGTTGCTGGGACTGAGATGACCCTTGGGGGCTCCTGTGTCACTGTGCTGCCAGCCAGAGCCTTTAAAAAAAGAAATGGTTTTGTTGTTGCCAAAAATCTTCCGTTGGACCACTATCACATGATGTGTAAGCTGCAGATTTTCTAAAAATACACAGATATAATAATGCTGGCAACTTCGAATTGGGTTTACAGAACAAAAGGAATTATTTGTTACTCCTATTTTTAAATTCTCATTAGGAATAAAAAGCTTAATTCAGACTGCCAGTAACAATGGGCTTGAAACCCACCACTGCTCATTAAGGCCTTCACCCTCAGCAGGTGCTGGCCAGAAAACTCAGCAACTCTGACTTGGCATTTTGCTGTTTTATTAGTGCTGTGTTTTATCTATTTTGTCTCTGCCATGGCAGTGTTCTTCTGCCAGGCGTCAGAGGTGCCACCCACAGGCCCTGCAGTCATCATTCAGCCAAGGGAAAGACACAGGACAATTGTTCTGCAGGGGGGAAATTGGAAAAATTCATTAATGAGGAAATTGGTGTTTTATGTTTGAGAGAGTGAAAGGAAAACACTTGAAGCCAAGAAAGGAGAGCTGGTTCTTGTCCAGAGCAAAACAAATGCCAGAGAGAATGAGGGAAAGAAACAGCAAAGAGATCTGATCTGTTAGGAGATACAAAGTAGTGAAGCAGGTCTTAAAGATAAAAGGAGGAAGGAATTTTACTTGGAAAAAAAAGGAAGCTGTATCTCTGCATATGCTGGAAGAGCATTCCAGATGTGAGTGGCAGAGGTTAAAGCATTGTGTGGGGCTGCTCCAGCCATGGCTCTTCTGCACCATCCAAGTGTCTGTTCTGGGACTGTAGTGGGTTAAATACTGGGGGCAGCACTGTGTGACAGCATGGCATAAATCAAGAAGAAAGAACCAAAACTAAGCAATGATTGGCAGCAGGGAACCTCCTGGTGAAACCTCAGAGTGGTTAAGAGGCAATGCCTGAGCTGTTAACTGGGAAAATGTTTTATTTCAGTCTATAACCATGTTATAGAGCTCATTTGGCCTGGACTGGGAGTCAAGATTATAAACATTTTTAAAGGGCTGTAGAGGTCTTGGAGGAGTTTCCAGGGAGGTATTTGCAGGAGTACATACATGATCTAAATACATCAGTGGCTTTAGGCTTACGTTTAAAAAAGTGAAGGTCTGTAGATAAGTAGATTTAATAGACCCCTGATTACTTTAAAATCTTTTTTCCCCATTTCCCTGGTGAGGGTAGGGGCATAGCTAGCACCATAAGCCTCTGAAACTCAGTTAAATACCTGAAGAAATGCCTTTTGAGCCTGGGGGACCTTGTTTTTAGTACCAGATACAGAAATTTGAACTTCATTGCTTGGGAGTTTCTTCCAAAACTAACAACCTGGATTCCCTCTCCAGCTCTTCTCTTAGGAAACGCCACCAACTCCTCACAGCACGGAGGCCCAGCATGAATGGGAACTGTGCTGGGGGCACAGACTGGTTGAGAAAGCTGGAGTCCAGTTGTCCTGTGGAAAACAGAACTGTAGCAGTCCATGAGTCAGAAGAAAGTTCTGTGGTGTTAGGAGGTCACAGCCCTGCAGTTCCCAGGACTGAGGGTAAGGAAAATGCCCTCAATCTTTGAGGGAGATTATTTTTTGGGCTTTAAGGGGTGTTGTGCTTTGGAAAATGTTCCAGAGCCACAGGGCAGTTTGCACTGGGCAGTATGTGCCCTGCCTGTGCCAGGCTGCTCTAAAGGACAGAAGTTCACAGCAGAGTTCAGCATCTTGGCAAGACCATCCCACAGGAGTGCCCTGGCTCGCCTGGAGCTGGCCCTGAACAGATTCACTGCAGGCATCTGGACAGTCCTGTGTGCCCAGCACAGACTGGCACTGGGCACTGCTGCCTTACACCACTCTGGTGAGGTGTGTGCTGCTGCTCAGCTTCCTGTGGGAGTCTTGCCAGAGGCTGGGTCTGTATTTCTGGCCTTGTTTAATTCCTGTGCTGCTGCCCTTTTCACCTGAATCCTGGCTTTAACCAGGAACATTAAGCACCATGGCTCACCAAAACATCCAGCTGCTGGTTCCGTTTGATAACAGCCTAGTTTCATGTCATATAGCATCACCCTGACAGTTATGGCATTCTTAATTATTGTATGACTCAGTTTTCTCATTTCAGTAGGAAGTGTTACTATGAAATGTTATTTTTCAATAAATTCCCTCCTTCCCTTGCAATGTTTGTTTGTGTCCCTCAGGTTTGGATTCTGAATGCCGACACAGTTGCCCAGTAAATCCCCAGATCAGTAGCATGCTGTCTGCTCCTGAAGAACCTCACAACTGCCATATCCCAGATGGAAATAAGAGACAGCTGGAATATTTTAATACCCAGGAACGCCATGGATTGTCTTCAAGCAGCAGTTCCCAGACAGTAGCTCCAGAGAAAGTGACCCTGGTGGTGGATGGCACCCGCTTTGCAGTGAATCCCCAGATCTTCACTGCTCACCCTGACACCATGCTGGGAAGGTGGGTCACTTCTGTTACCTTCAAGGTACCTCAAGACAATCTAAAAAAAATTTAATGGAATAAACATGTAATGTTTGTTTTGTGATCTCATCTGTAACACACAGTGGCCTCAGACAGAATTTGGCTGTGAGTGAGGCCTGGAAGACCTGAGCAGATGGAGAGTTGGTAGTTCTCTAGATAAGTCTCTATGTCCATTACAACATGCACGCTTTTAGCCAAAGGTGGTCTCCTTTTCATTCTCCCCAAGTGTTTGCCTGGTCTGTCAGCTGTACATCTGTCCCCAGCTGATAACCTTCCTCCTGAATGGGCACTATGATAATGCTCCATCCCCTGCTGCTGCCACCCCTTCTGCTGCCTATCTCTCCAATTTCTTGATACTCTTCCGAAAAAGAAGTTACTCAGCTCCTGCTGAGAGGTTGGAGCCTGTTGCTGCACCAAGAAATGCTCGTGTGCTGTATTGCCAGCACTTCCCACCTCTCTGGCCAAAGGGTTTTGTTGGGTCACTGACCCTTGTGTGGGTTATTGTGTGAAACAAGGCATCTAAAGCCATGTGGAGTTACCTGCCTAGGTCAGTGCAAGGACTTTATTGCCAGGGATTTTCTGCCCCAGGACTGAATGATCTGTTCCTCTGGCTTGTTCCTTAGAGTGCAGTAGCCGTAGCAACAGAGGCCTCCCTGAGCCAGCTCTTGTCCTTATTTACTAAGGAAGAGATTGGAGTGAAGGTTTAAGTTACTGTATGGAGTGGCCTCAGCTGCAAGGGACCTTGAAGCTCAGTTCATTCCACCCCCTGCCATGGGCAGGGACACCTTCCACTCTCCCAGGTTACTCCAAGCCCATCCAGCCTGGCCTTGGACACTTCCAGGGCTGAGGCAACCACAGCTTCTCTGGGCAGCCTCTGCCAGGCCCTCCTCGCCCTCAGAGGAAAGGATTTTTAACCCCAGTGTATCTGTTTGTCTCTGGAATGAATGCATTTCGATGTTCTTGTGCACTTACACAGTTCCTTACTCTTTCAGAATGTTTGGGCCAGGCAGAGAATACAATTTCACCCGGCCAAATGAGAAGGGCGAGTACGAGATTGCAGAAGGGATCAGCTCAGCCGTGTTCCGCACCGTGCTGGTAAGGGCAGCTCTGCAGGTGGGGGAAAAGAAACAAACAATCTGTTTGTCACATGTGCACAGCTGAGTCATCTCCAGGCACTCCCTGGACATTCTGGTTTTAGGTTGTGATTTCTAAAGAAAAAAAATATAGCTTTGGTATAAGTCCACATTACAAATATTTGCTCATGTTGCCTTTCACCTTTTCTATGTCCTGCTGTTGTAATTGCTGAGCTGTATTCTGACTTTGTGGTTGCATGTAAATACATATTGCATATTATGATATTATGAAACCCTGTGCCATGAAAAGTTTTAATTGGACCTCATCATTTATCAGACCCTAGAGGATCTGCAAAAAGATGTAGATTCTCGGACAAGCAGGGCTGTTTTGCTGTACACAGAACTATAAATAGTTTAAATATCTGTCCAATGTTAATAAACAAAATAAAGAAATAATTAGGAATTATCATAGTCCAAGATGTTCATAATTTTTCTCTCTAAAAACTGTCCTTTTATTCACAGGATTATTACAAAACCGGAATCATTAACTGCCCTGATGGGATTTCCATCCCAGACCTTCGAGACACATGTGATTACCTCTGCATAAACTTTGATTTCAACACAATCAAATGTCAAGATTTAAGTAAGTATGGAGAGAAATCAGCTCTTAGGAGATCATCTGCAGGGTGTTGAGCACTCTGATCCTGATTCAGTGCAGTTCTTAATCTTGAGCTTTAGTTCAAGCATGAACACGTGGATTTCCTTGGGGCTCAAGTTGCATTTAAAAAGCTTCCTTTTGGCTGTTTCAATCCAAAGTGGAGTGACCGAATCTTTCAGAACACAGGCACTTTGCTCCAAAAGAAAATTACAAACATTTTAGTCTCTTTTTCTAACAGAGGCTGAGCAGAGCTTGCTGTTACTACAGCAAAATGAAGGCTAAAAGCAGGATTATAACCCCTATCCAAAATGTACCAGAGAATCATGAATAATTTAAGCTAAAGGCTGATGGGCAGAGCAGGAACCAAGGATACCAAATCTGGAGAGCAGTAGAATTCCTGGTCATGAAGGGATTTGATTGGGAGCAGCTTTTTGGTGGGCATGCTGGCAAAAAGAAGTACTTTTAACACAGGCAGGTCTGTGAAAGGCACATTGCTGAAATGGGGTGTGTGGTATCATAACACAGGTTGTGGGTGGAATTTCCTGCCCTGTTCTCTGGTGAGTGATCACAGAGAAGGCAGCAAAATGTACTTTCAAGGGCAGAGGTTGTTGCTGGAAATTTAAGTTAAGTATCATAATGAATTAATTATTCAGTCTGTTACTGTTTCACTGTATTGATTGGAGCCTGGTGAGTTTTTAATAGGAATGGAATAGTTCTGCAGTGCAATTTGCATCCCATTTGAAATGCAGTCTGCACTTCTGACTTTGCCAGTTCTGGATCTGGAGGCTGTTGATGTGTCTGAACATATGTTGAGCATTTTGCCTGAAGAATAATTCTGGCTGTGTTCTTGGATGGATCTGGGAAGAGCAGAGCTGAGATATTTTCATGCTGTAGCAAAGCTGCTGTGATCTGTGTCTCCTCAGGTGCTCTGTTACACGAGCTCTCCAATGATGGGGCTCACAAGCAGTTTGACAGCTACCTGGAGGAGCTGATCCTGCCCATCATGGTGGACAGCGCGCGGAAGGGCGAGCGGGAGTGTCACATCGTCGTGCTGACCGATGAGGACACCGTGGACTGGGATGAGGATCATCCACCCCCCATGGGAGAGGAGTATTCACAAAGTAAGGGCTCTGCACTCTGTTCCACACACACCCAGCCATAAGGAAAGGACACATTCCCAAACTGGCTTCCTCCGGGAGGAGATGCAGGCACATGAAGCCTGATTTGTGTGTTCAGTATGAGCTCGGTGCTGCTGGAGGCAGGATGCCTGGCTAGTTAGAACTGATTCCAGCACTCACTGCACTTTTCCTTCAGTTTCTCCCTCCCCCTCAGCCTTTTCCAGGATCCTCAGTGAAGAAATATTCTTTGCTTTACACTCCCATCACCACCCAGTCTGTTGAGACTCTGCCCTCCCAAAAGGAAATGCAATTAATCCTAGTGAGGAAAACAGACACCTGAAGTAATTCTTGGAATCCACACCTGGCTTTTGGCACAGTGGGGCATGTCAGAAGCAGGGAGAACGTTCCTCTTTGTTGATTCTAATCACCCTTTTATTTCTCAAGTCCTTTACAGTTCCAAGCTGTACAGATTCTTCAAGTACATTGAGAACCGAGATGTGGCAAAAGCTGTGTTAAAGGAACGGGGCCTGAAGAACATTCGCATTGGCATCGAAGGTAAAGTGCTGCTTCAGCAAGGGAAATGCATAACCAGGTGACTCCACAGTCAGCAAAGCCTGATTTCTTCTGGACTCCAGGCATTTCCTTGTTTACTCTGTGTTTTACATATATCTTTACAAAGCCAGTTAAAACTTAGCATGCTTTTCCTTTACCTCTACTGTGTTCCACTGAAATTGGCCAAGGGGCTTAAAAGTTAAAGGAAAGTGAAAGGTACATAACATGTATGAGAAAGACTTGTCTCCTTAGGAATGAGGAAACAGGAGTCAAATGCTTCCACCTGCTTATCCAAGCTTTCCCTTAGGGAGCTTAGAGGATGCTGGGCTCTGTCCTGGGAGACTTATTTTTATAGTAGTTATGTTTGCTCACAGAATGGCTGGTGCTGTGCAGCACCTGCAGGCTGACTACACACAGTGCTGCCCCCTCTTGTCAGAGAATCATGGAATTATTTCGTTGGAAAAAGCCCCTGAGATGATTGAGTCCAACCATTGAACCAGCACTGCTAAGCCCACCTCATTGCTAAGTGCCACATCCACATGTCTTAAATCCCTCCAGGGATGATGACTCCACCACTGCCCTGGACAGCCTGTGCCAGGGCTGGACAACCCTGGTGAAGAAATTTTCCCTAATATCCAATCTAAACCCCTCCAGCCCAGCTTGAGGCTGTTTCCTCTTGTCCTGTCCCTGTTCCCTGGCAGCAGAGCCCGACCCCCCCAGGCTGTCCCCTCCTGTCAGGGGGCTGTGCAGAGCCACAAGGTCCCCCCTGAACCTCCTTTGCTCCAGGCTGAGCCCTTTCCCAGCTCCTTCAGCTGTTCCTGGTTCTCCAGACCCTTCCCCAGCTCTGTTCCCTTCTCTGGACACGCTTCAGCCCTCAACATCTTTCTTGTGAGGGGCCTAAAATTGAACTTAGTATTCAAGGTGCCTCAGCAGTGCCCAGCACAGGGGGACAATCACTGCCCTGGGCCTGCTGGACAGACCATGGCTGGTACAGCCCAGGTCCCCATGGCCTTGTTGCCTACCTGGGCTCATGTTCAGGCTTGACTCCTCATTTTCTCCCCACATAACCTCCTCATAGTCCTCCTGATTTATGTGGCTCTTTTTCCTTCTCATCCTCGCTGGCTCATCTTTTTGGCACATGGGGATGACCTGCTCCTGGAGCTTTTAAGTTTTCCTTCTTGAAGTATGTCCAGCCTTCCAGGACTCCATTACAGGGGAAAAGAGGACAGTTTTTTGCAAACCAATAATGCTAAATGTGAAATCTGAGCATTCATCTGGAATCTGAGCATTTGTCTACTGAGTTGTGTGTGTGTCTCTCCCTGACCCCACAGTCACTCCTACCTGGGTGTTCTTGAATCCTGTTGTCCCTTTGTGAGTCAGAGAGGTGCAGTGGAACTGAGTGGCTGTCTGTGTTCCAGGGTATCCCACCTGCAAGGAGAAGGTGAAGAGGAGGCCTGGTGGCCGCTCCGAGGTGATCTACAACTACGTGCAGCGGCCGTTCATCCAGATGTCCTGGGAGAAGGAGGAGGGCAAGAGCCGCCACGTGGATTTCCAGTGTGTTCGGAGCAAATCCCTAACAAACCTGGTCACCGTGGGGGATGATGTTTCAGAGGACCACGAGGTTATAATGCATCACCCCCCACAAGTGGATGAACTGGACAGGCTGAATGCCCCCTTCTCCCAGATGGTTGTTAATGATCTACCAGACTAGTGTGGCTCAGGGTGGAGAATCCTGCTGGATGTCGGAACCTCTCGCCGTAGTTTCATCCCAGGTGATGGGACACAGACTCCTGCAAGGTGCTTTATCCTCATTCATGCTCTTACTACGTTGTCATATTTCAAGCATGTTAATAAAGAGCAACACTGCATAGTCTTAATTGTACAATCAAAAGCAACGTCTGCTCAGACAAAAAGAAATGACCTGTTGTTTCTACTACAAAGGCTTCCAGATTGTGGGTGCTGAATATTTTATCTAAACTTTGAAAGAAGAGCACAAGTGTGTGGAAACGTCTTGTGTGACATGAGAGAGGAAATTCTGGGCCTGTCATGACAAAGGTTTCCTTTGCCATTAGGCACAGCTTTGTTTTTGTGAGTTACAGAGGAGTGAACATCAAAGCAGGACAGATGATATTCTGTATCAACCAGCAGAAATGTAGCACAGTGTGACAGCAAACCCTGAGCATGGAGGAATCTGTTTGCATTGCCACCTGGCTTTGGATCCAGTGTGGTGTACTGCTGCCCTAGGAAGGAGGAACCAGTTCCGTAGGAAGTATATTCACAGGAATTCCCCATCTGTACTTATCTGTGAGATGGAATCACTGTTTTTAGGGATGTTTTCTGTAAAGTTCAGTAAAATGAGTAGATCATGCTGAAGGAAAACCCAAAAAAGACTGTAGCTGATATTTTACCAATAAAATTAATCTGTTAATAGCTAAATAGATGTAAGAAGCTTTCTAGAGGTGACTGTGCATACTGAAGACTTTGTCTTCTGCATCCCCCTGCTAAGACAAATAAAGCCAATGGAGGAGCTCCCAGTTTACTACCTGAGTAAAATCCTTGGTCTTGTCAACCTTAGTCAGACTTGCTGTAGACTCTCCAAGGAGCTGCTGCTGCAGCTTTAAAAAGCCAGCTACTTCCTTCCCAATTTGGAACTGACTGGATCATTTTTGTCAGGCAGGTAAGAAATACCAACAGTAAACCAGCCCTCAGCAGAGAAAAATGCACATACCTGGGAAGAGCTCTCCTTTGCTGCTCTGAGTGTATTGTCCTGATCTATGTAAGGCTCTGGGAGTTTGGGTTCAGGGCCAACAAAGCTGTGACTGTAAGAACAGGCACACTCCAGGCTGGTTTAGCTCAGGTGGGTTGGAGCCTCACTGCTCCTGCTCCTGCAGCGCTGAGTTCCCTGGGGGAGTCACTTGTAGGAATTCCCTGTGGGAATTCCCTGTAGGAAGTGGCTTAACCCCTGATGAACACACAGCGAGTTCTGCCCTGCCCCAGCTGAGCTGAGGGCACCCAGAACTGGGCTGCCTCACAAAGCCATCCCTTCTGGTGGCTGTGTAAAGGCTCTATGTACCCAAACCAGAGTTTTAAAACATGGTGCTGGTGCAAAGAAAAGCTGAAACCATTCAAGAAGGAGAGGGACAGAGCTCCTCACAAAACTGGGCAGGTCAGGTGTCAAAACCTGGATTGCATGAATGCTGAGTTATCTGGTCAGGCTAGGCAAAACTGAGGTGTAGGTATCAGTCTGGCCCCAGAAAGTTTAATCTTTTTTGCCAGGCTGCAACATCAAGCAAATTTGTATTGTTCTTCTGACTGCCAAGTGCATGGTGAACTGAACAGTGAAGTTTGCTGCTGGTTGCTGCCAAGGTGTTTGTGGTTTTCAGTGCAAGTAACATAACAAGATCAAGCAGAAATTTTTAGTTGCAAGTAACAAATCTCTGCCAAGGCACATTTTAGTTTCCATTAGTGTGGATACAAGTTCCATTCTCTCAGTGTTTCCATTCTTAGCTTCTTTCCCAAGTGCAGCAAAGAATTCTTCTAAAAAGAAGTGCCTGTGGGAAGATTTCAGGACCTCCTAAGAATCCCAGGTGTTCAGATGCCTAAATTTCTCTTGACTGCTTTTGAAAACTCCTTCCTGTGTGTCATTGGGTCAGTAGAGAGAAGTGTCCTTTGGTGCCTGCACGGAGCTGGGGTGATAGGCAGACACTCCATTATTGGTGCAGATGAATTGCTGTGTATGTGGTAGAGAATGGAGGACACATGGACCATGAACCTCCAGCAGGGGCCAGACCAGCCCCAGTCCTTGCCTTGGTGGTGAGCTGTTCCTCAGGACAAACAGAAGCACTGGTGAGCCCAGCAGTGGTGGAACTTGTCCCTAGGCCCTGAGTGCCCAGCAGTGATGGTCCCCAGGCTCTGTGATTATATTTTCCAGGCTGTATTTATTTCCCCAGCAGTGTCAGGTTTAAGTAAATGAGTGTTGGTATTGCCCAGCTGAGCTGGAATTGGAGGTTCCACATGTTCTGCTCTAAGGACTGAAGTGTGGGTGTTGTTCAGAGCTCCTTCTCAGGACTGTGTCAAGGCAGCAGGTGCTGAGAATTGCACCTCAACAGCACCTTTTGGGATCTGACAGCTAAAGTACCATGTCCAGCCAAACCAAATCCCACCTAGTGTGTCCCTGAGCCCAGGGGCAGCTCGGCCTCTGGAAGGATTTAGGCAGTTTATTAAACTGCACCCAGCCCTTTTGGGAGTTACAGACTGTCAGTGTCTGTAGGAGTTTGTGGTTTCCTGTGCAATCAACTGGACCTTCAGCATGGGGTGCACATTATCCAGCTCCCATGATTTCCATGCAGTTTTTACCACTTACCCACTATAGTTTATTGGCTTTCCCAAGTAATTACTCATTCTGGATTTTAAATTTTGTTAGTAGAGTGAGTTCCATTGGAACACTGAATCAAATTTTAAAAGTGTTTTGTTTTTCCTCCTCTCATGGTCACCTATTTCAAGTACAAGGTCAACTTTTGTCTTACTCTAGGTGTACTGAAGTGCTCCTGTGCTGTGTATGAACACCGGATGTATGGTTTCTTTTCTGTATTAAAGTATAAATTATATGTGACTTGTTTGGCTCCTTTAAAAAATTTAAATTGCTTTAAATGTGGAGTAGAATAGGCAGGGCATAGAGAACTACAAGATTTTGTTTCCTTGCTTCATTAAGTATGTGTGGGTTGTGATTCCAAAGTCTTAGAAGTTTGGCATCAGAGCCTGGTTTGCAGGGAAGTGTTCCCACCATTTGTGCTGAGAGGACCCCAAAGTTCACCTCATCCCTACATCTCATTGCAGTGATGTTCTAAAGACAGCACAGACAGCACCTCCTTGACCCACGGACTGCAGCATCTCTAGCAAGCCCCAGTGTTTTTGATCAGTGCTGTAAAAAGTGCTTTCCACTTGTACCTACTTGTCTTCAGAAGAAAACAGCTTTGGAACAGGTATGGCTTTGATTTCCACCTTCAGCCTTGGCTGTACTTCCAGGCTTCTCTTGATGAAGGTTGGGAAGGGCACTGACAGTTCAAACAAGGTGGGATTTGTGTGAAGACCTCACAGCACCTTCCACTATGTGGAGGGGCTACAAGAAAAGTTGAGGACTCTTCATCAGGACAAGGGGAATGGCTTCCCACTGCCTGAGGGCAGGGATGGATGGGATTTTGGGAAGGAATTGTTCCCTGTGAGAGTGGGCAGGCCCTGGCACAGGGTGCCCAGAGCAGCTGTGGCTGCCCCATTCCTGGAAGTGTCTCAGGCCAGGTTGGACAAGGCTGGGAGCAACCTGAGGGTTGTCCCTTCATGGCAGGGCATAGGAATGGATGAGCTTTAAACCCTTCCAACCCAAACCATTCCAGGATTCCCTGATTCCTGTTTGTAAAATATACCAACAAGAGTGTATTTACTAAGAGGATTTTATTTACACAACACAACAAGATCGCTCCATAAAAAGTTGACTACACCTGCCAAATTGTACAGTGCAATTTTGTAACAGCTTTTAAATATTTACAGAACACTTTTTCAACTTAGAGGTTAAGGCAGAGTCAGGGCACAGTGATAAGAAACACTTAGTGCAGCTTTGTGCTAGGCATGATAGAGATGAACTGGCAACATAAAGTGTTCAGATCCATTGAAAATTCAGATTGGAATTACTTCTACAAATCCAGCAACTGCAGCTTAAAAAAAAAAAAAAAAAAAAAAAAAAAAAAAAAAAAAAAAAAAAAAAAAAAAAAAAAAAAAAAAAAAAAAAGAGGTAAAAGAAGGTAATAAGAACCTCAAAATACAAAAAAAAGTGTAAAAATGTTTGGCTACCATCAGAGATGTAACAGGCATACAAAATCCTTACTGTCAGCAGTGAAGTATGGATCTTGGGAGATACTGTAGGAGACACTTTTTTCCCTAATGTTAGTAAAAAACTGGAAAAGGATGCAGGCTTACAGTACATCTGGGATACAGAACCTCCCACTGCAAAGGTGTGTCCAGCAGGACTGGATTCAAAGACATCCAGCTTTTGCTGGAAGACAACAGGAATGAGGTACCCAACTGCTCCTCGTGCCATTGAAAACTTCACCTTGGACTCCAGTGACACACCTGAGGGGTCCCACTTCAAACACAGCACTAAAAATGCACAATACACAGTACTAGAGAGTTGGTTTTTCACAGCAACTTATCACAACTTAAAATTGTTTCGCTTCTTCATCTTTGGTATTTATAAATAAAAATGCTGGTCCCTTTCAGTAAAAGGCTGAGAATGCAGCTATTATCTCAAAACAATTTGTTCCTAATTCACAGCAGCTTCAAAGGATTTTGATTTTTGTTTTTATTTTAAGGCAGTAACTAAGCTGTTAGGAATTGAAAAAAATATATCTTACATTAATTCCAATGGTTTATAAGGCAACACTGTCAAATGGCTAGAAGAAACTGCAGGATAAGGATGGAACACTTTGAGAAGCTGGTATCAGTCCTTCATGCAAAGTCAAAAGGGAGCAGAATGTGATCCAGGGATGAGTTGATGAAAGCCTGATCCTGTAAATCATTCCTTCCATTAGCCCTTATTCATCCGAGTGAGCCCTTCTGACTGCAGAGATCCTGGGACTTCCAATTAAGGCTAGTTTTGCATTTCAGCTTGGTAGGATCCAGCTGCTGTCTGAACTGCTTCTGGCAGGTCATAAACTCACAGGACATGTACAACAAGCACGGGGTGGTGAGGGAGGACCTGACAGTTCTGTACAGTACTGGCAGTCCCCCCCCAGTCCTTCAGGATGGCACTCGAGTCAAGAGACATCTAGGTAAACATTCCCTAAAAGCACCTATATAAAAAAAAAGTTCCACTACAAATCCATTTTGTTTCATTTTCTAATCAAGAAAGTCAGGACTAAACAGACCTGGAAGCCTTTTTTTTTTTTTCTGTGGGACATCACTGAAGCTTTGTCTTGTCTGTACTCCAGAGTTAGTGTTCAGCACCGAGAAGTTTGCATGAATCCAAGACAATTTGAATTGACACACACTTTTAGAAAACTCATAAATTGTATTTTTAATATCTGATTGTAAATTCCAGACTGGAACCATGCAGGTCCAAGGGTTAATGCCACCTGCCCCTGGAAGTGCAGAGTTAACTACAAACTGGCACAAAGTGGAGCTTGTGGTTAGAAAAAGGAATCAGGAAGAGCTCAGCTGAGCAGAATCCTCCCTCCCAAAATGCTGTCATGTTCTGAGAGAGGCTCAGGCAAGGAAAGGCACTTTGGGGCTCTCCTGGAGAGACAACTGATCTCCTGATCAGAACTGAATGTACTTTTGTAAATTAGAGTAGAAAACAATCAACATGGACATGGTGAGTTCCAGTGCCCCAAAAGTGACCCCATGAGGCACCATCTGTGGAACACTCCAGGTACAGATGGTACAGCCAGGACAGCAGGAGCAGCTCTGTGAGGGAACACCAGGCAGGCCTCCATCAGCAACATTCTGATCCTGTTCTGCTCAAAACCAACAGCAAAAAGGCCACAGAAGTTGGGGTTTGGCCTTTAAACCACTGAAGATGCAGCAGAGCTCAGAGGTGGCTAAGAAACAGCAGCAGCAGGCCTGGGGAGCCTCGGGGCTGGCCCAGCTGTGCACAACTTGCTCACCAAGGATCAGGTTCCTGGAATTCCCTCCCTCTGCTCTAATTCCAGACCCACTTATATGACCAGCTGTAGTTTATCTGCATTGTTTATGGATCCAACCTGACATACAGTAACCAAAAACTCAGCACTCAGTGGAGGAAATGGCCCATTTCTTCTCTATTTAGGAAAGAAAAAGTGTTGCAAAATTTTTTAATTTAGAAAAAACATTAAATGGCTTGAGGGTCACTTAGTACCAAAAGTAAAGTGCACCAGAACTGGGGGCCACAGTAACAGAGCTGAGAAATGCTATTGAAGAGGCTTCCAGGGAGCATTATAAAAACAGCACTACAAAGTAAGGTTAAGGCAATCCGAGTTGTGTCCTTCCACTAGACAGTTTCCTGGAGAGTTGTCTGTCTCAAGCTTCAATTATTGCTTTGTTTCCTCTGTCCTGGAGTCCTCAAGTACTGGGCAAACAGTGCTGGCAGAATTGGCAGAGTGAGTTTGTCACTTCATGCAGGACTGGATGCAGTCCTATAGAATCCCATGCTTTGCAATGCCAAAGGGAAAGCTTGCTCTCATCTCCCAGTGGACTGGACAGTCTGGCAAAGAATATAAAAAAAAAAAAAAACTCTTGCTCCTGAAGAAGCAAAAGGTGCCGGCAGCAGAGATGATGCAAACATGGGATTTTTCAATGGCGCAGGGAAAAAAAATCCTTAATAACAACCAGGTGTGTAACAAAACAGGGTCCTGAAGTCTTCTCCAAGAGTTGATAGCCCTCAAGTTTTCTTTAAAAAAAAAAACAAGTTCTTCTATGGGTAAAAACCCAAAGTACAGCAACAGAATTCCACGGCTTTGAAGTCCCAGGTAAAGCTGTGTTATTTCCCTCCTTTCATATAGGATGGAATTGCTCCTCGGGCCGTCAGGCCCTCGAAACGCTTGTAGGTGTAATTGATAAAAACCCAGTCTTTGTTCTTGTAGTCTGTCTCTGGGTGGTTGCTTGTTGCTACTGGGAAGACATAGAAGAAATAGAATTATCCTTTGGAACTGCAGAGTTTATTTTCATACAAAACACAGGATGAATGTTTCTAAAGGAAAAAAATATCCTAAATGAAAATGCAGCTTCATGCTTCAGCCAAAGAAAGAAGTGCTGGGACACAGAACATGGATCAAGCATTTTAAGTTAGAAGAGGGTAGATTCAGACCACATAGAAAGAAGAAATTTTTTACAATGTGAGCTGTGAAACACTGGCACAGGTTGCCCAGAGAGGTGGTGGATGCCCTAATCCCTGGAAGTGTTCCAGGCCAGGTTGGATAGGCTTGGAGCAACCTAGAATAGTGGAAGGTGTCCCTGCCCATGGCAGGGGGTGGAGTGGGATGAGCTTTAAGGCCCCTTCCAACCCAAACCAGTCTGAGATTCTGTTTTTAAACTCACGGAACAAATGTGTGACTATGCTGTGATCCTTCAGAGATTCACAGCAAAAAATCCCCTTGAGTTCCACCTTTCCCTACCCCAAGTGCCAGCAGGAATCAGCACTGAGGGGAGCTGGCAGTATTGGGCTCTCAGGCCCTGCTGAGATCTGAACTTTCTGGAAGCTCTGCTGCCTCTGAGTGCTGCCCTTTCTCAGGCAACTCCCACATCATTTACAAGCCTGCATCTCCTGGAACCCAAATTCCAGCTTGCACCCCCTGCACCACAAGGCTTCCAAGCCATTTGGTCACGATAAAAAATAAAATCACCATCTAGTAAGATCTGACTAACAGGAAGGATTATTCTGCAGGAGAAAAGGAAGGTTTACACAAATAATGAAACAATCATTTACCTGTTGGTTTAAGGATATCAGATTCTGGAAATTCATCAAAGTTTGAGGTATCATCAATGCTTTTAATTTCTATTGAAATTGCAGCAGGTCTCTCTCTGCCAAGAAGAGCAGATGAAGCATTGAGATTTCAAAAGCAAACAAAGCAGGATTCAGCCACCTTC